ATTTGAATGTAAATATTGTGGCATTTTAATAGTTGGGCATTCGTGAAACTCGATTTATCCAATGATTTATAATAAAGCTAGCATATTTTATTTTATTTCCATTATAAGACATTTCTAAATTTAATGTAAATAATTTAATGATTGCAACGCAGTAATTTACAACAAAAGTATAATTAAATGCAAAGTTAAAAGTAATAAATAGCAATTTATAAATTTTTCGTATTTATTAACATTTAGAAAAATAACATAAATTGCTTAGCAGCCAGCAAAGAAAAGAAAAACAGATAAATTGTAACAGAATTTAAATATTGTGACATTTAACTAGCTCTTTATCTTTTAAACACGAACTATGCTCTCTGGATCTATCAAAATAAAGCAAACGACGTTTGTTTCGAGCATCTTACCCACGAGAGTCTTCCAAAATTGGATACCAATAATTAAATGCGAGTAATTCACATCTATAATAACAGAGGAAATATGACTATGATAATTTGCTATGACTAATGCCATCTCCTGGGACGGTCTAACCTCCTTCACAATTACCCTTAAGGGATATTGTTGCCATTTCCACGGGTTACCACTACAAAGATTTAAATTTCGTCGTTTCTCTTACCTTTAAAGGGTATAGGGTGCAATCATTAGTTATACTTCAGGGGGATTGAATCTGTTCCTGTCTTTTGAATGGTGGAAAGAATATTTTAATTTCTTAGCGAACTGTTTTAGGATCACTTTTGTCTAGTCTATTCTGTATTTAAGGAGGGAATTAAATACCTGATTTGAATTAATTGTGCTTGTGGAATTAGTTTCAAGCAAAAGCTGTATTCATGAGAGATTTGTGGGTGCATTTAATTATTTATTTAGCCAGAAGAAATTAAAGGCAGAATCACATATCAATAAAACTATATGGGTGTGCTAAATTTAAGTTATTCAAATTTATTTCTATGTAGATGTAAACAATTTAAAATAATGTATACATTATTATGCAAGAATAATCTCTTTATTTCCAATTTACGAGGCTTTTATTTTGGAACAACAGGTAACAACTTTATCAACTTTTACTTCAAAATAGATATTGAACTATAATTTTTAATTTTTTTTTAAAATTATGTATTCCTATTTAGTGAGTTCCTATTTAGTTGTTATTTTAAAGGCTACTATTGAAAATAGGGAAAAAATTGATGTTTAATCTTTCAAATTCATTATTTTTTAATCAGTTTAATTTCTATGTGGTTTTTACAGAAATTCTAAAAAAGAAAAAAATTGATTATTTTGTACATATATAGCATAAGATTTAATCCTTCCTCACATATATAGCATAAGATTTAATAATATGCTTTGTTGCATGCAAAGACATCAATAAAACGCAAAGTCATAGAAAATTATTAATAACATTTTTGGATAAATTTGTCTTTTATTATCTTTCTTATTTAGCATGATATTTTTATATCAGTTAGGAAGTTAAATGAATCGATAAAAACTACCCAAATAAGCACCAAACTTAAATTACTTACTGATAAAATTTGATTGGTGTTAAAATTAGAAGTACAGCCTTTGTGTGCCAAAAAAATGGGCTACCCTGAATGACTTATAATCTAGTGATCGGATCTTCACATTCTAGGACTCATTCGTAAGGGTTCAAGAGGGTGATCTTAATTATGTAAATTAATTAGTGCAGAAGATATTTTGAGTTACGAAATCAGACACAAAAAAGTACTTTTTCTAAATAAACTTACCATTTTTTCAATGGAGCTGGATTTCTGTCACCCAAAATCTATGGTGCAGCCGTAATCTGGAAAATGTGGTCCCCATAGTTTGGTCATTAGAGCGATCCAAAACTTTGATCCCTTGATGTTAATTTTACTTTTGCGTATTTCACCGCATCTCTAGAACTTTTTAAGAGAATTGAAAGACTTCAGCACTTAATAAAGAAATTCGTTTTTCCTCTGATAATTTCAAGTGAAAAAAAATTTTTAGTTAATATTTACTTTGATTTCAATTAAGAATGGTCGAAAACATTTTCAGTAGTAAGGTACATAATTTTTACGTCATCTTCAAGTATGTACTTTTTACATGGCAAAAATTCAAAATTTGAGCTAAATCGGTTGAATAGTTTCTTAGAAGTTTAATTTTAATAAAACGATGTTTTTAAAATTTGATTTCTCTGGTCCACTAATGTATGTTATGCAAAATTAATACTAAATAACATTCATATGATTAAACGTGTTTTTCATTACAATGAGTGTATGGAATAATATAAAATATTTAAATTCAGTAGGAACATGACATTTATAATTATTAGATTATTTTAATATTTATGATAATCGGTAAAAAATATCGAAAAATTTGAATACATTATTAAAAAAACTTCCCTCAGTGTATTAATTTCGAATAAGCAGTTTCCACGCATAATCCCAATTAAGAATTTACTTATTTTTTGACGCTCTTTAATTCAATTTGTGAAGATTTACTGAGAATAAATTACTAAAAGCTGGAAAAGATGATAAAGAAGTAAATACTGATTAGTATCACTTTGCTTATAAGATTACTTTTACAAGAAGAACTTGACTGTTTAGTAGATGGAAAGAACAAATGAAAAGCAATCAACAAAATTGGATTGGGTGATAAAATTGGATTTCTCTTACGATATATTGATCAAAGAGGAAAACTTAAGTCTATCAGACAAAACGCGCAATTGTCTTTTTTGTGATGCAAGTAAATTTATCTCCTGAGGGTAGTTAGATATTTATCTACCGTGTGTTTCAGCTTATGAGCAAATGTTTTGCAATAAAAGCGCGATTTATGTCTTCATGTATTTGGATTTTGTAATGTTTTAGAAGAAAAAGCTATTGGGGTATAAATTTAAATTAAGCTATTTGTTGATGGACTTGCGAATTTAATGTATTACAATGGGAAAAAGATTTATGTTTATGTAATCTTAATTTCTGTTGTTGAAGTGTTTTTCATGGAGATTTTGACTTAAAATTTGAATATTGGTTCATTTGTAGCAATTATTATGATTTTAAGCATGTATTTCAAAAATGTCTAGTTACACATGCACAATTAATGGAACGATTTTTTTTAATTCAAGGACATGAAAATTGGATATTATAATCAATTTAAATTCGCTTACGATAATTTGGTCAAAAGCAAAACACGCGCTTTTTATGTAATGTAATTTTCCCCTAAAGATTAAAGATGTACTTACATGAAGTGTGTTTTTCTCTTATTCCTAAATGTCCTTCAATAAAAAAAAATTTACACTTGTAAAAAACAATTTGTAATACACGTGTGATTACAAATGTAATTATACCTAAGCAGTTACCACCATTTCTAGTGTTGGTGTAAACTATTTTAATTCCCAATGCATTCAGCCTCCTTTTTATTCACCTATTCACTATTACAATTCTATTGATTCATTGTTTTAAAGAAATATTACGCAGAAACTAAGGCGGTAAAACATTACTCCGTTAAAAACTTCATTCACTTCAAAATTATATATTTTTGAATGAAAGTGAATGAAATTAATAATAAATTAATAATTAAGTGAATGAAAGTTTTAATCAAGTAATAAATCATTGTTTTTTTACAAGCAAAATTAATTTTGAGGTACATTAGAATCACTTATGGCTTCATTGTAGAAACATTTTGTTTAAAAATACAAGAACATTTTTCGTAATATCTTTGAACTAATCTTTTCATACAACTGAAATTTTTTTCATTTTTTTAATAATTTATTGCGAGTATAACTATTGTTCTGTACTTAAAAATGTCGTTAGTTTACATAAGCACCAAAAATTGTGGCAACTATATGCCAAAATCTTTTCAATGTATTTTAGTCTTTAAGGAAACTTTATTATAAAAAACTGAAACTATTTATTTTGTAGATTGATGTATGTATTTTCAATAATGAAAATGAATGTATTTTTAATAAAGAAATAATAAATGTATTTTAATGAACGTATTTTTAATAAAGAAAACGAATAATGCATTTGTATTCATTTTTCGTTTAAAAAAAGTTTTGTTAAAATGTTCTAGCTGCAATGACAATTTCAAATAATTAGGTCATTTTTTTTCTAGCAAAAGTTAGTTATAGAAGAGAAGTAGCGTGGAAATATAGTTAGAAGTATAGTTAGTTATAGAAACTGTATAGTTGATATAATGAAGTAACTCTCCTAGCAATAAACCGACTATCGTCCCTTTAAAACTACAAAACTTGTAGCGAAATTTCTAAAGGAACATTCTAAAAATTTACTTTTCTACATATTTATAAAAAATAGATTTCGTTGGCGTTCTCTGAGAAAGATTTCTGTTCTAAGAATATTTAATTGAAAAGGTGAAGCAGTGAGTTTTCAAAGATCGGTAGAAATTTTACTTCCATTTCATTTGTTGTTTTAGAAGAAAGCTGGTCAGCTTACTATCGTATAATTAATTATATTTTTTGTGATTTAAGTAATTTTTTCTCCATTTTGCCTTTAACTATTTATATGCTCTAAGTTAATAAAAAAAACTTTAGGAAATCAAATACACACTTCTAAAGTTTTTATTCTTGTTTTTTCCTATGAATAACGTTTTGCAATAAAAACACAATTTATCACCTATAGCACCTTGTTGATTTTGTATTGTGTAGGAAATTTTTTTATTACGATTTGAAATTTTAGCTAAAATATATTTAGATTGTTGTTACTATTTAAAGTTGGAAGTATAAAAGAAGAAAAACAATGCTTACGAAAATTGCTATTTCATATTAACATTTTTCCACCAACACTTACTTTGAATAATTAAGCGTTGGGTCATTTTCATATACAACTTATAGGTTTAGAAACTTCTTAAATGCCTATCAAAATCTTCTGAGTTGATTAAGTAAAACAAATTTTTATTTCAGTTTGATGCCTAAAAAATTAAAATTTTTATTAAACTAGCTGAATACCCGTTCCTCGCTCGGGGTGAATAAAAAATAAGTAATGAATCAATAAATCAGAGTAAAGAAACACTACAAAATCATGCTCATAAATGAAAAGCATATACCAACGCAATTAAAGAGCTTGAAGGAAGAACCAGGTAAGTGACATTTTTAGGAGAATTAATGAATCACTGCTTTTGTCTTCTTTTAAATCTTGACATAACTAATCACATACGCTTTTAGTATTTAAAATTATGATTTATCGTGATTTTTATTTCAAATTAGGCTTTGAGGCTTACTTTTTCAGGTTCTTTGGTTTTTTTTAAAATTAGGAACAATAAAGCAAATAATTATTTGTCCCGCCCTCTACTAAATAGGTGATAAAATAGTTCGAATACAATTTTTTTTTCTGAAAATGTCTCTTACCTGCATCTTCCACTAAGTTATTCAATTAATATAGACAAAAATATTTTTCTTTTTTTTTTGTTTAATTATATTTGTTTCCCCTTTTTGGTGGCTTTACGCTATTAAATTAAGTGAAACTTGTTTTTTGCAGTTAATCCCATTAGAAAAAATATAAAATGTACTTAGCATCACTTGGCATGATGCTATCACTCGTGGCCAAACCATATTAGTCAAAATTTACCACTATCAAATAATTTTCACGGGTACATATCCCTTTCGAGAGACCGTAAAACACTTCTTTCTAAAGTAACTGGCTATAAACTGCTTAGTATTGGTTCTGTTTTAATCATCACCAAACATATCATTATAATATTTTATTCCTATATTAGTATGTTTGGTACTTATTACATAACACTTTCACATTTCAGTTTTGTGAAAAATATATTCGTCAGTAACAGCCAACTAAAGCAGAAATTTTAAAAAAAATATATAATTATTTGTGAAACTTGATAAGGTTTTTTGAGTATGGCCATTTCTCTATCTGACTTATAATTTACTGTTGAAATCTTTATCAGTGGTAGAGAAACAAAGTTCTTTATATTCTAATCCATTAAAATATTAATACGCCATATTTATCACTGAAAAAAAGTCAAAACCGTATTATTTACCATAATACCAGCAGAACATATATATATATATATANCTAAGTTCAAAATTTTTACTATTTTTTAATTCCGTATTTAAAAGTTCAGCATAGAATTTTTTACAGAATATAGCATAATTATTGTTAGCTTTGTCTATGGGAGTAATTACAAAATTTTTTTGAAGTTGCTTAATTGATTGAACAATATTAGAAAAAATTTTTGAATTGTTATACTTATATAAATTATCCTTATTATTGAAAATAAAGTTTTTAAAGTAATAATAAACTACCCATTTCCATTCTGTTAGCATACCTAAAGGTAAAGAGAATCTATTTGATATCTTTAAACAAAAATATATATATATATATATATATATGTTCTCTTCTTTGGTTTCTTCTTTTCGAAATCTTTGGAAACAAAAAAGCGAAATTTCTTTTACTTATTGAAACTTTAAATTCAGTTAAATAAGCTTTTAAAAATAAATATATTTAGAAATAAATTAACAAAAATATTCTCCAAAATGCCAGTACATTGCATTTATAGTACATTTGATCTGTTTTCATTAGCAAAAAGGATTTTTCAAGAAACGTTTAATAAAAAAATTCAACTAAACTCTTTATAAATTATTGATTATCGTGGTTGATTAAAATTTCACAGAAACACTTAAAAAATTATGCTGGATTAATAAAAAACAAATAATTTTTCTGGATTTATAATGCACGTTTAAAGCCGTTCTTCAGCAAGATCAGCAATGGATTAAGCTTAAAGAGTAACATTACATAGGGGATAAGTAATAAATGCAGTACAGATTAATGCTGTTCAAATTTAAAAAGTCTCGGGAAGATAGTAAGATGAGTTCGACGCAAGGGAAAAATTTATTTTGTAGTCAATATGTCAATGCTGCATTTTTAAATAAGTTTGTTTTGTGAAATTTATATTCAAAATAGAAAGCGTTTTGTTCACGTTGAAATGTCGGGGATATGATTATAATAACTTTGCGTTTAATTCTTCATTTGAACTTTCCCTAATTTGCAATATTTTAAACTTTATAACAAACCAAATTCGCTCTAACAGCATGCAAACAACAGAACTGAAGCTTATTACTACAGTATTCTAATTATTATCTTATATTCTGCTTAGATTATCTTTAAACCTTAAATATTAAACAATTTTGATTAAAAATTATTTTTAAATCATTAATATTAAGCCTGCAAAACTTTTAATTTTATTTTTTTAATAATTTTTTACACTATCTACGTTATCATTAATTATTTCAAATTTTTAATATTGCTTCAAATTGTCATCAATATATTTTGTTAACATTGTTTCTTTTAACATTTACTCAGTTTATTTAGTAATCACTGCCTTTAACACATAATTTTAAAAGATTTTGTTATAATTGAAGTCAAAAAATAGGCACAAAGATCTGAAATTAGTATCCAAGCGAAATTTATAGTCAAATGTATATAGGGTGTATCATTAATAATCACTTTTCAACTCTTATCAGGCACTCAAACATGTTTTGAAACTTTCAATACTCACTCATGGATCTTTAACTTTTGGTATAATTTTAGATTTTCTATCACTTCAACTGGAAAAAAGGGTATATTTTTAATTAAAATATTGACATTATTCTAAGGAAACATTCTGCATATTAAAAACATTTTTACCTAAATCTTAAATAATGAAATAGTAAATAATATGCGTTTCATATACAGTAATTCTTAATTCGCGAAAAGATATAAATGGTGATAAACATTTGAATAGATTGAATAGAATCACTAGAGAATACTTTTGATAATGGCTGATTTAAAAGCGTTGTCAACCAAATAGCATTTACTCAGTTTACTGAACTCCATGGATTCGAAATGTTCATTACTTAGCATTAACTTCTCAGAAAGATTTGTGTTTTCTTTAATGTCTTAATTAGCTAAATTGTATGGCCACCGCCTTAAAACTTTTCTTAATACCGAGAAGCTATTCAGCATTTTGATAGCATCAAATCTAATAGGACTGATTTAAAATTAATGGTTAGAGGCCATTGCACCAAACATTGACTGCTGATTATCTAGAAATTTCAATTTTGAATGCTGTCTGAGATAATGCGATTACATAAATATTTGTTTTGAGGAAAATGCTGTAATGATTTTTATTTTAATATTTATCGTCAAAATCCAAATAAGATTAAACGAATCTTTGTTAAAATTTATTTTATTTTTATTTATATCCCCTTAGACAGAGATAGATGTTAAAAATTGTAAATATCAGAAATAGCATCAGGCCTAAAAATTGAACATATTTTTAGTTAAGAGTTTTTAAAGTATAAAGAAAATGTTAGTATTTTATATATATATATATGTTCTCTTCTTTGGTTTCTTCTTTTCGAAATCTTTGGAAACAAAAAAGCGAAATTTCTTTTACTTATTGAAACTTTAAATTCAGTTAAATAAGCTTTTAAAAATAAATATATTTAGAAATAAATTAACAAAAATATTCTCCAAAATGCCAGTACATTGCATTTATAGTACATTTGATCTGTTTTCATTAGCAAAAAGGATTTTTCAAGAAACGTTTAATAAAAAAATTCAACTAAACTCTTTATAAATTATTGATTATCGTGGTTGATTAAAATTTCACAGAAACACTTAAAAAATTATGCTGGATTAATAAAAAACAAATAATTTTTCTGGATTTATAATGCACGTTTAAAGCCGTTCTTCAGCAAGATCAGCAATGGATTAAGCTTAAAGAGTAACATTACATAGGGGATAAGTAATAAATGCAGTACAGATTAATGCTGTTCAAATTTAAAAAGTCTCGGGAAGATAGTAAGATGAGTTCGACGCAAGGGAAAAATTTATTTTGTAGTCAATATGTCAATGCTGCATTTTTAAATAAGTTTGTTTTGTGAAATTTATATTCAAAATAGAAAGCGTTTTGTTCACGTTGAAATGTCGGGGATATGATTATAATAACTTTGCGTTTAATTCTTCATTTGAACTTTCCCTAATTTGCAATATTTTAAACTTTATAACAAACCAAATTCGCTCTAACAGCATGCAAACAACAGAACTGAAGCTTATTACTACAGTATTCTAATTATTATCTTATATTCTGCTTAGATTATCTTTAAACCTTAAATATTAAACAATTTTGATTAAAAATTATTTTTAAATCATTAATATTAAGCCTGCAAAACTTTTAATTTTATTTTTTTAATAATTTTTTACACTATCTACGTTATCATTAATTATTTCAAATTTTTAATATTGCTTCAAATTGTCATCAATATATTTTGTTAACATTGTTTCTTTTAACATTTACTCAGTTTATTTAGTAATCACTGCCTTTAACACATAATTTTAAAAGATTTTGTTATAATTGAAGTCAAAAAATAGGCACAAAGATCTGAAATTAGTATCCAAGCGAAATTTATAGTCAAATGTATATAGGGTGTATCATTAATAATCACTTTTCAACTCTTATCAGGCACTCAAACATGTTTTGAAACTTTCAATACTCACTCATGGATCTTTAACTTTTGGTATAATTTTAGATTTTCTATCACTTCAACTGGAAAAAAGGGTATATTTTTAATTAAAATATTGACATTATTCTAAGGAAACATTCTGCATATTAAAAACATTTTTACCTAAATCTTAAATAATGAAATAGTAAATAATATGCGTTTCATATACAGTAATTCTTAATTCGCGAAAAGATATAAATGGTGATAAACATTTGAATAGATTGAATAGAATCACTAGAGAATACTTTTGATAATGGCTGATTTAAAAGCGTTGTCAACCAAATAGCATTTACTCAGTTTACTGAACTCCATGGATTCGAAATGTTCATTACTTAGCATTAACTTCTCAGAAAGATTTGTGTTTTCTTTAATGTCTTAATTAGCTAAATTGTATGGCCACCGCCTTAAAACTTTTCTTAATACCGAGAAGCTATTCAGCATTTTGATAGCATCAAATCTAATAGGACTGATTTAAAATTAATGGTTAGAGGCCATTGCACCAAACATTGACTGCTGATTATCTAGAAATTTCAATTTTGAATGCTGTCTGAGATAATGCGATTACATAAATATTTGTTTTGAGGAAAATGCTGTAATGATTTTTATTTTAATATTTATCGTCAAAATCCAAATAAGATTAAACGAATCTTTGTTAAAATTTATTTTATTTTTATTTATATCCCCTTAGACAGAGATAGATGTTAAAAATTGTAAATATCAGAAATAGCATCAGGCCTAAAAATTGAACATATTTTTAGTTAAGAGTTTTTAAAGTATAAAGAAAATGTTAGTATTTATTTCATAGTTGTATAAATTAATATATTAACCAATAGAACGTTGATTTTATTAAACTTATAATCTATTTGATAAAAGCTGCTATATATATATA